CCAAAAAAAAGTGAAGCAGCATCTCATATTATATTTGCACTTGATCGATCATATTCAATGAGCCATAATGATAGAAAACCTTTAGAAAACATTCGTTTAGGCATCCGTGAAAAAATTGCACAAAGACATGATAATAGGCTAGGCGCAGTATACTCAGCAGTAATTATTTAATTTTGTGTTATTGTTTTAACAAATTTATCTTTTTTCTAACTAATTATCAATTAAGGTTTATTCATTTATGGAAACACGCCTTACATCTCAAAGGAATCTAACTAAGGGTGCCATTAATAAAGACACTGTTTCTTTAATCTTGTTCAACAGTAGTACTATTGTACCAATTGAAAATCAACCATTAAGCGATCTAGACAAATTTTTAGATATTATGATTGAGCATAGTCCATGTGATGGAACTAACTTTGAATTGGCAATACAGAAAGCAGGGTTCCTGATTGATAAATATTATGATCCAACAAAGTAATTTAAATTCATATCCATTTGATTGATTTAAAATTGTTTAAATATAATATACTTAACTGTTTGGTTTAAATATATCAAGGACAAATATTATTATATTTTTGTCAGATGGTGAAGGTGGATCACCAGATGCTCAATTAGAAAATATTTGTAGAGTCAATCAACAAAGAGGGTATGTAATTTAATTTATATTGTTTATGTATAATTAATAAAGTAAAATAATTATAATTTAAAAAAATTTTTTTTTTATTAATTTAATAGGTCGTTGTTATATCTTTATACAATTTTATTTGGCAGTGATTCTAATAGTCAATTTGTAAGGTTTTTTGACAGTGATCCATCATTAGTAAAGATGGCTAATATTGCACAAAAGTATCTTCCAGCTAATTCCTCACCCCAATCTTTAAAATGTCAATACACTAAAACTATCGATGAAATAGCTTTAGCTAATCATTTTACTATTGTTGCAGAAAGTTTAAGAAGACACAAACCTTCTTTAATGAAAAAATATTTTTAAAAAAGGTTATTGACAAATAGATTAAATAAAAAATATATTTATATTTAAAAGAATTAGTTCTTAAATATCATAAGCTTTATTTACCTAAAGCAGGAGTAAAGTCGTAATTTATATTAATATTAATTTATCAAGCAAATGCCTTTTCTTACCTGGCTGGTAATAAAAGCTTGCTTTCAACAATTTAAAAAAAATTCTTTGAACATACCAATTTTTATGGTCACAGATCATTGGCCATAATCTTGATGGTATGAAGTGTTAAATAACGCCATTATTATTATTATTATTATTATTGAGCAATTTTAATGAATGTCTCATTATTTCGCTTGTTTTTTTTGGTTTTATTCATTCAATAGCCTTCACATATTACACCGATCATATAAACTTTTTATTTTTTTTTCTTGGTAGTTAATTTATGTCCTTGATGAATAATGTTGTCTTTTTTATTTTTCTTATTATCCTCTTTTCAAGACCCATTGTAATTATAATTAGTGGTGTGAGTAGCGATGTCAGCCGGCTAAAAAAAATTTCTCTCGAAGTTTTAGTGCAGAATTCAATGGCAAGACATTTAGTTGAGATGGGTCCACCTATATTACTTATAATGACAAAAAAATCATACATTTATTCAAAAAGCAAAATAAAACACATCATATCATAGAGTTTCTATTCGTAATGCAAATCTTATTTTAATTCGAATTATTATTATTATTATTATTCGTTTTATTTGAATTATTCGTTCTATTCGTTCTATTCGTTTTATTCAAACTATTTGAATTATTATTATTCGTTCTATTCGAATTATTATTATTCGTTATATTTCGTTTTATTCGTTTATTCGAATAAAACTTTCAATGTAATTCAAATACTCAAATTCATAACGAATAAAATACATAATTTAAACCATTAAAGGCGAAATATTATAATAACAATAGTAAATAATAATAATAATAATAATAAAGATAGTAGTAGTAATAATAATAATACTGGCAAGCTTAGTACCATCTGAAAAGGTTTTTTGTCAACTGGGATTTATTAAGTTCCTAGCCGGCTAAGGTTTTTACATCGGCTAACATCACTAGGTGTGAGCCGCTAAGATGATACTCATTTTTACGCCTGAAATTTTAGTGCAGAATTCAGTGTCATAGACACTTAGTTGAGATGGGTCCATCTGCATCACTTAGAATGACAAAAGAAAAAACATACAATACTCGTAACAGGATAAACAATTATTAATAAAGAAAGCAATGGTAATAGTTAGAGTTATATACATTTAATAAAACTCAATCTTAGTTCGAATTATTTGTTTTATTCGTTTTATTCGAATAAACTTT